TGCTGCAGCTGGTGTCGGATCGACAAATCTGGAGAGGCAATCACTCCGAATCACAGCTGCGCAGGAATATCCAGTACTAGTATTTTTCAATATGGAGCATTGTACATCATCAGTTCAGGTTGCCTCCCTCAAAGACATAGGCTCTATCTGCATTGGAACAGTCAGATCCGGTCTGAAAGCACCACGAAACACTTCTCCATTCAGGAAGTCCTGATGAAAGACCAGGGCAATCATATAAAGAGTACTGGCCACACACACACACACACCAGCAAGGACACAACTGCACTGGGGCTGTCCAGGATGGGTTGCAGGTTGGCAGCCTTCCAACACCCAAAGCCATCTGGAAGTTCCTGGGATTGCGCAGGCATGGGGTATGTAGTTTATGATTTATCAGGGGAAGTAGACATGGAATGAACTATCGGAAGTTGTTGCAGGGCATGTGTTTGGAGCTGAGTTCATGTGGGATCTAGTCGACGAGGAAGACTTTAGGGGGCCCAGCCAAGTCTCCCAAAAGAACTGAACCCTGTATTTTCTAATTAGCTAGTACCACGAGATATTATCCTACAGGCCCAGCCCAAACCCTAAAGTCACCCGAAACACGACCCTTTCGAACAATCGGATTTGGTATGGATCATCAGCTCTCAGGAATTGGTGGATTCACCCCACATAAATGGCATATCAAATTAAAGAAGGTTACGGAAACCATGATCCATTCACCTGAACTTATAAGGAAGATGAAGTACCAGGAGAACCATGTAGAAATCTGAAAAACCATGCAAACCTGCTCCCTCTGAGTGTCTGTGTGAACGATGTGATTGTTCTTGAACTCATGGCGGCTCGGGAATGAGTCCGGAGTCATAGCAGAATGAGCATTCCCGATGAAGTCAGCATAAGCACGAGGGTACGCAGCCGACGCCCGAAGATTCTTCGCAATCCCTGTGACTTTGTTGCCAGGGTGTCTCTTCACGAGCTGCAACTTCAGCCGCACAGCCTGATGCTGGATTTCATTCGGAATACTTGTGTTTGGTAGACACACACCTGTACTGACAACTAGCTAGAGTAGCCAGCCTGCTTCGTGATACACTTTCGAACATGCTTGTTCAGGTAGCCAGCATGAAAACCAAGTAAGTGCAGCCAAGGCCTGTGCCACAATACAGGAATTGATTGATCTGACTTGTTTTCAGACATCATAGGCTTTAAAACTTCGGCCCCCACGCAGAACCAATTGCGAGAGAGCGCTTCGCAGAGAGGGAACCGAATATACCCATCCACCTAGGCTGATGCAGCACTGCTAGTCTTGTGGGAATACTCCTGCAAATATTGTTGACATGTGAGCCTAAAGTAGGCCTAGCTGAGGCCTTAGCCAGAAAGTCTGCTGGTGAGCGATCTTCAGGTCTTTGTCGTTAATTGAAAGGATGAACTTGACATAGGGATCATAAATTGCCATGCTTGAAGACGGTTGCTCCAACATCCAAAAGCATTGTCGTGAAATAGCCAGAGCAACTAGGAGCATGCTTCGACAGCAAATTGCATTGGCCTCGGCCACCCATGTCAAAGCTTGGTTGCCACCTGGATTCAATGGGCTCCGCTTGTGTTGGCTGGAGCTCATAAATATATAGGAAGCACAAGGTAGGGCCACATACAACAGTGCGCCCCTGTCCATCCGGAGCACTTTTTGGACAGCTTTGATGAAACCCGTTGTAGTCAGTATATTCTCCTCTGGATCATGACGGAGACAGTCATATTCATCCCTGAGCTTGACAAACTGATCATGACTGCGGGCTAGCAATCCCAAGCAAGACTGTGACAGAGAGGATCAGAATATCATGTAGGCAAGTGGCGCTTGCAATCCAAGCCTTCCTAAGTATCCAGGAAGAATCTCAACACACTGTGTGATCTTATCCATATCCAATTGGAGGCAAGATGCTGAATGCCCGAGCAATCGAACCGATGCCCGAGAAGAGCTCCACACATGCTAGGTCCTTAATTATCCATTAGTTTTCGGATTTGGGTCTGGGCCAAGCATATATAACCACAACACCCACTAGGCTTCGAACCCTTTGCTTGAGGTCTCGATCCACTGTCATCTGCTCGACATAGTCCACGATGTGAAACCTGTTGGTGGCTGGCGGGTCTTGGCGGATCTTATTTTGAGGTATGCACTGCTGAGTCCGACACATTACTGCTGGGATCTGTAGCAGCAAGAGGAAGTGCATGCTTCGTCGGGAGAGCAGTAGGGCCATTGCGACAAACAGCTGAGTGGATCTGCAAAGTTGTATGTCAGCTCTTTTTGTTTTCTTGGGGGGTATAACTTGAATTGGAGTGTTCCAGGCCTGGGATTTGTAGGTAGGGTTAAGATCAAGACCTACAGTGATATGTATGTATTATTCCACCTTTGATGAATATCTACAAGTCAAGCCCAAGCCGAGGTCCTCGATTCAGGAGCCCTGTGATCAACAAGCTCAAACACCTGCAGCTGCATGCCTTGAACAGTGCTCGAGAATGCCATGCAACTCAAGCTGCAAGAGGCTCCAGCAGTATGTAGCACACACAGACCTCTCATCAGGCAGGGGAAGCTGCGAAGCTTTTTCAACAGCGAGACATCGAAGATATTTCCCAAAACCGACCCACATCTCTAGAGGCTTGGGTGGTCTAAGGCCCGACACGCCTCAGCGAAGGCCATTCACCCACTAGTCTGTAAATCGGAACACAGCAGACGAGTCAGGGGGCATCCATTGTCCAAAGTATACAATTAGGTCCTAAGCAAGGGGTTAGCTTAAGGGCAAACCTATGATTTGCTCGAAGAGCTATCACACGGATTGATTTACATAACTTCGTGAACTAAAAAACAGTACCACAACTAGCAAGTAGCATCTATGACCCATAGTACGTAGGTTTGCATAGGATGCACTTCCCGACCCCTGCTGGCATTGTACGGGTCCGAAGCTAGGGACCCCTCCTACTCGTTGGGAAAACTTGATGCAATCATCAAGTGGGAACCCAGTGCACGTAGGTTAGCTGCCTGAAGTCCGGGCGAAAAACTAATTACAGTAACAGCAGCAAGACTCAGCAGCTCAACCTACAGCCAAGGCACCTAATCTTCTTCACGCAGCACGATCTCGCCATTGTCGATGGCAGCATGAAAGCGCTCTTCGACTGCAACAGGAGTACTTATAATTACTTTACTACATAGCATTACCCAATACTGCTGATAACACCATTGGCAAGGGATTCAGATCCAGGTTGTGGTTGAGTCGAAGATACATTCAAGTACATGCACATTCCAGCCTTCAGGGCGGGTCCAGGCTGCCACACGCTTGGCAATCTTCCACCTAAGGTGTTGCACTACATTGTGGCACTCTTTGATCATCTACATCACTAGTCACGAGTCCAATACCTTTATATTAGTAGAACGTCCTTTCAATATCCTCTGACCTAGATGATAATTAATGTGATCGGAATAAACCTGGCACAGGATAAACACTGACAGAAACCCATCAGTCTTTTCGAGTGGAGGGTTCGGGGCTCTGAAAGTTCATGGGAGCTATGCATAGCTAGGACACAGCATATGTATATATATATATATATATATATATTTGCAGAATTCTCTCATATACCTTTGCACTGATCAGTGTGTCTATATATAAATAATATATACATGGGAAATAGGAAACTGTTCTTCTGCGAGCCACGTCGAAACGAAGCCGCCGTGCTTCTTCCAGGCGATGGTGCAGCCGAACTTGCGGTCAGCCTGAGATGCACTGATTTGGGGCACGACGGGTTGTTAGGGGTTCAAGGATCGAGGTCTTACTTAGAAGAGGAGATTCCTCGTTTTCAACACCTAAGTATACCATACCTAAACCAGAGAAACCCCAAGAACGAATAATTCACATAGGCTGCATATTAGGTCTGGGTCTAATAATGTCAGGAACCTTGTACTTGCCCGGCCTTACAAACCCTAGTGCAATATAGGGAACATGGGTTGAGGATCCTCGGAGCTCAGGTTAATGTCAGAATATAATGTAAGCCCTCACATACTTAGTAGTCGGATCGTTGGCCCCTTCAGAGAATCAGTAGGCCCACCAAACCCAGCTACTGCATCAGAACAGCGCTTAACTTAAGGAAACCTGAAGCCGAGCTTAATAAGTACTGTCAACTTAGGGATATCGGATATTGGGTGTTGGTCCTCAATTATAAGAAATTCTCAAACAACATCTATAGGGTCCCAGGGCAGGTCTATTCAACCCAGTGTGTAAACAAGGGATGAAAAGGATATGCTGGGTTTAAGGTTACCATCATTGGGTCCCGAATCAGATAAGATACCCTGGGTTTTGAAATTAGTTTGTTTCAGTGGGGCAGACCATTATGTGTATTCAGATCATGAGATCCGAGGTAGGTTCCATCCCGAACCCCCTTATAAATTAATAAAACTCCTGGGTAGATACACCAGCTATCAGAAACCCAGACCTGAGTCTACACCAACACACAAACCCAACAAGAGTACGTGCAACATATAGGCGGATCTGTCGTAGATGAGAAGCTGAAACCCGGGGCTGAGCCTAGTAAGCAGTACCCAGTTGCTATCAAATATTTTAACCTTAACACGTAGTCGATGCTTGACTCATTCGATTGCAGAACATCTGCTGCTAGGCACTGATATTTGCTTTCCAGTGCACTGGCCAGCCAAGAACCGAGTCTGCAGTTTAAACTACTTCTTGGTAGTGTCAAAGTGTTTAGAATTTTGACATTAATGGGGTAAGGGTGGCCTAAACCTAAATGTGGATTATAATCGACTTTGCACCTAAGTCTTGCATGGTGTTAGGCCAACTCACCAGCAGGCTTGTGCACCTAGCAAGTCACGGGAATGGTTGTGTGAACACAAGACACACTGTTGGTTTCGATTCCATAAGGCAAAGGGTTTCGCCAGGTCATGCACAATATGCTTGTTATGGCCAGCCCCGGTTAGGCAGATTGTCTCACAACGACGAACGGCTTATCACTCATGCTGTCCAAAAAGCTCCAATCTCAAATTCACCATGGAAGTAGCATTTGTTGACATAGAAGGCCCGAGCATTTAAGAGCACTGTGATTGACATGCGAACGGGCATGTCCTTCATCTCGGCCAACTCCTCGGGCGCCCATAATTCCGAGACCTCCGGCATGTCGTCGGGCGGGGCGATCGCATAGCTCCTGGGAGAGTCACTACATCAGCTAGGGAAGCTAGGCCTAAGAACCCAAGCGCTTATGAAATTAGTAGTACTGTTCTTGCACATGCAAATTAGATGGTAGCCGCACATATATAACACCAGCACATCTAGCACACATACATACAATATCATGGCATCATATAACTCAGTGTGAAACAAAGACATGCATACATGATCAGCTGAGGCACAGCCTGCCATCCAAAATGCAGTCCGGGGGCATGGCATCAGGGACAGCATCTTTCAACGGATAGACAACAGAAAGCCACACATCCTGGGCCATCCCATGTCGCAACATCTTGGCCTTCTTAAGGTCGGGCTTCAGCGGAGTTCCGGAAACACTGGGTTCCTTCCCACGCTTCGCAACCACTGCACACTCTCGGCTATATGGGTTGTCATGCAAGGTCTCAGACTCATGCGTGTCCACAGGTGGCATAGGATCATCGTGCGTAGCAGACATGTCAGGGAACAGCTCCCTGGCAATCACCATCTGCTGATTCGACCCTGAAGCTGCAACCTCAGAAATCGGCGGATTCTCACCAAAACCCTCCATGAGCACATCCGTCATCGGACCATCCGGCATGAATGGCACCGGGGATGCAGCAGCCTTATAGGAAGATGTGTTCCGGTACACCTTGACAGTGCTGGGGGTTGTCGAGACATCATCCGTCCCTCGGTCAGGGGTTTTAAGGGGAGTATCTGGCACAGGCACATCCAGGTGCAAAGGCCGCACATACACTGCCTCCACCTCAGAAGCAGATCGCAGCAGCACTTGGCTATGAATCTCCTCAGGGTTCGCTGGCCTCTGAGTTGTATAATGCCTCACGAGCATGTCCTTCACATGCTCCGGCAATTGCTCCGGATCATGAACCGTGCCCCCCTGAGCCACTGCACACTCCTGCTGATCGCACTCAGCCACTTCACACTCCTGAGCCAAATCCCCCTGAGCCACTGCACACTCCTGCTGATCGCACTGAGCCACTTCGAACTCCTCAGCCAAATCCCCCTGAGCCACTGCACACTCCTGTTGATCGCTCTGGTCAGCCACTTCACAGTCCTCAGCCACATCCCCATGAGCCACATCTGCCTGCTCCATGTCACAATCCCGATCTGCATCATCCTCAGCCTCATGACCAAGATCATCTGCATGCCGAGCTTTGCCCTGTGCCTTCATGGCTTGCTTCTTGGACTCGTGGGCTGCCACTGCCTTATTTCTACATTACATAATTTTTAAACACACACACACACATACACCCATATATATATGTATAAACACGTGCATATACATGTACATACACATATATCCTGTAATATATATATATATATACATAGACATATATATGTACACATACATATACACATACATATACATATAGAAAAGGCACCACATGCAAAATCACTACCACATGCTTGCGAGGCACTGCCATGATATCAGCATCATGTGTTTTCTTCGCAGCACGCTTCAAAACACTGACAGCTTTCTCCTACATGCACAGACTCGTAAACAGTATTCATGTTGCACTACACACAACACACATGCACTCTCCATCCTGTTTCGAGGCTGCCCTCAGCTCCCATTGCTGAACTCGAACATCCCCAAGCAGCAGGGGATCTTGGCCCAGAAAAGCATCCATTGCACTCTCATCCATCTTCATGTAGCTCCCGGAAGGAAGGAGTGGGGCACGGTCCTGATCAACGAAATAAGTTTTTGGTGTACATACTGAAATATAGCAACACACATCCGATCCTTCATCGCACCGACTGTGCCACTCCCAGAACTGCTCGCGCTTGCAACAGTCAGCTTGGAGCCCTGTTCATTCAGCTTTGCCTCACACACACAAGCAGCTCTGTGAAATCTTGCTCTTCGGCACAGCAAACACACAAAGCCACCTATGATAAGCTGCAAACTTATTCACGACAAAAGGCTGAATCCACATCCTTCTCGGGAGTGGGCTCGGGCTCTGGGTCCGAATCTTCCACAGTATACTCCCTGTGCCCACCATCACTGGAGGAGTCCAGGATCTCCAGTGCCTGCTGTGTTCTTTAATTCGTAGTAACACTATAACTAAGGTTCAACACCCTAGATCGAAACCCGAGCCAGGGCAATGAAGAGACTATTGCATCGAGTTTTCCAATTGCAACCTTTATATTATCTGGACTTCACTGAAACCCTGCAGCCTTCATTGCCTCTTGCTCTTCCTCAGCATCGTGGGCTGCAGCATCACCTGCACCATCATCATCCGAAGCAGGCAGCGGATGACCATCATTCGCCAAGATCTGCATGTCCACAGTATTGTGAAATCCACGTGCAGCATAGAAGAGGCACTTCAGCACCCTCACTTCTGGAAGCCTTAGATGATATATTAAGCAGCATCGGTTGCATAAGAAACACATGATCAGTGCCATATACTAAACGAGAAACTTCGCCTTGGCAGTGCGCTGCGAAAGACGGATGATATAGCCGCCGAGAAGGCGCAGTCGTGATCCCTGAAGGTCGCACCAGTCCTCATGAATGCCCAATGCCATGCCATGCTAGAGCATGATTATGATCACGACTGCTCGCAAACCTGCAACATTGGAATCACTAGGACACGCCCAGTAGCACGGCACTCTCCCTTCGCCCCACGTGTCTTGAGGTCCCGGGAAAACCATATGCCATAGATCATCGCCAGATGCATGATTGCCGCCTAGCACTAGCACTGTCTACATATCTACATACCGTAACACCTGACATGTGCCCACACAAACTCGGCACATGCTCCCAAGCATTGTACATGTACCCAAACCATAAAATCGGCACATAATGCAAGAGACTCTGTGTTCCACCATCGAAGCTGGATCATCGGTGAGGTGGCCAACAACATAGGGCTTCAAGATCTCAAAGTTCCGGACAAGGTCTGTCTCCACTACCTTATATTACACAGCAGCACACTGCACCCCAACCAGCAATCTTATAATGAAATTTCTAAACATTGGATCCATGCAGCCTTTGTCCCTTCCACATGCACAAGGTCTGCAGCATCCTGCCAGAACATCACATGTATACGGTTATGTGTTATACTCACACATGTATCGTACAACTTAATTCGACATGTTCAGATCCTTCATGTCCCGGAACTGCGACAAGCGCTGCTCCAAGTAGGGCTTCAGGGAGTCGAAGATGTTCATACTCCGGACCTGGGAAATATGTTGGCATGCTAGGCTCATATCCGGACGACTTCGATGATATACGACATGTGCATGGGACAGTACTGCATACAAGGGGCCGAGAGGATGTAGCGCATCGGCTTCATCACCCTCAGCCCTCCACCCTCAATAGGGTAAAACTCCATGGTCGACATGCTGTCAGCACGACGTGTCGAGATCACTACCTAAACCTTGCAATGGGCCCACCACTTGCAAGCCGGGGCAAGTACTAGCGCAACATCAAGCATCCGGAATGTGACTGCACTTGCAATTGCAACGGGCAGGGGAGAGGGCACACCATCATCTTGCCGGCTTGCATAGAACTTGTGCAAACGCAAGGCACGGCCGAGCACCATAGCTCAACGGAAAAACCCCCCTCTCGCTGGGACATGTGCAGAGATATTCTATATGTGTGAACTAGCTGTCTTACGAAGTCTCTATGGAAACATACACATACGCTGTATATGGCATGCCATTCGACCTCATCCCAAACCAAATTTTGCTATCCATGGGCCACATCATGTCGACCTGCGAGCATTGGGCTGGGCGATCGGAGCTTTCAAGAATACCCCAATGCAACCTGTTTCTATCAGACGAGGACTTTCCCCTCTAAGTCCTTATCTGGCAAGAGAACCTTCCTTGATGGATTCTAGACCAAAACCTTCCATACACAACATCTGGAGGGTCAGGGAAGTGTTCCAGAACTAAGCAGCAACCCCACAGCAGCAGCAGCAGCAGCAGCAGAATGAGCCCATGATGCTTTCAATTTGTCATGCGGACTGAATGTGTGTGCGTGTGTGTGTTGTGTGTGTGTTGTGTGTGTGTGGGGCAGGTTCTGCGACTATAGGTACCTCGAGCCCTCCTCTCCCCTCCCTCTCCTTCTCTCCTCCCTCTCCCTCTCCCTCTCCCTCTCCCTCTCCCTCACCCTCACCCTCTCCCTCTCCCTCTCCCTCTCCCTCTTTTATGTCTCTTCTTCCTGTCTCCTCTTCCTGCCTTCTTGCACACACACACACACACACCCACCCACCCACCCACCCACACGGACACACTCACTCGCTATCTGATATCTCTCTCCTCTCTCTTTCTACCTCGTTCTTTCTTTCCCTCTCTCCCCCCAAACCACCCTCTCTGCCACATAGCGGCCCATCCCCTGCTTGCAGGTGCCATTGACCCCGATGCCGAAGAGTATGAGGAGGTCCAGGTGGAGGAAGTGGAGTGTGAGGAACACTGCGACGAAGAGGTGGAGGAACCGGAGGAAGAAAACGATCAGGATGATGATGAGGTGGTGGATGATGATGATGATCCTGAAGGATCTGGTGATGGAGGTGAAGACCTTGAGGACGGGTGGGGTGACGAGGACGAGTGGGGTGACGGGTGCGAGGAGGAGGCCGAGACCGATGACGAAGGTATCCCCACTTCCGGCAATCCGGATGATGGTCAGGATGCTGCCGACCCTGCTACAACTTCCAGCCCCCAGCCGCCCCATGCCTGCACATGATTTGTTCGTGCTTGCGTTTGTGTTAATTAGTGAGTCTGGAGCAGTTAACAGACATGAGCCAGGAATCCGATCCTGCAGCGGGCCATGTCGAGCCTCAGTGTCCGTTCAGAGCCGTCTTCCTCTATGAGCCCGGGCCCATTGGGGGTACGTGATGAAGGCAAGATCAGGAGGGCACCGACCCCGGCTGTTTGCTATGTGCAGGCACATACCGATAGTTTGGAATATCAACTCCCGTGACCTGATTTGACCCTAGGTCAGAGTCCTGAGCCCTGAAGAAAGAAAGCAGATCCAGGACTGAGCGTGCAATTGTGTTGTCTAGCTGCCGATGTGTGAGGAAACCCTTATCTTGTTCACAGGCAATGACGCACCCGAAACAAATGGATGCCGGGGAACGCCGTCGGCAGCGTGAAGCCATGAAGCGGCGCATGTCGCATCCTCAAGGAGAGAAACAGTTCAACGATTTGCTCCCCAATCCTTAATTATAAACTGCACTAGAGACATACTCTATATGCTATGCAGGACTTCCTGCCGGCTTGCTCGAGAAGTGGGAAGCAACCACCTCTACGACCGGCAAGCCTCTCGAAATATTCTATGTAGTATTCAGTAACTTCTGGGTATCACACATGGATCAGTCGATTCTCTGACCCCTGCAGCGTCCCAAGGTTTGAATTCTTGAAAGCGTTTATGCTCGACGAGAACATGACTTCCATGCACATCGAAGCGGAGTACAAAGAGTGCCACACCTATACTGATTGTTCATCATTCAAAAGGCCGGTTGCATTTTTTCAATACTTATCTTAGGTACTCGGAGAAGCGCCAGGAAGGTCATTACATTGAGCTCCCGCTCCACGAACTAGAAGAGAAATACAACAAGACAGAAGAAGGCCGACGATTTCTTCGTGATGATATCCTGGCCAAACAGACTGGTCGCGAGCACCCACAAGCAAAAGGCAATGCTGCATGGCGCTTGTATAAGATCTACGAACACGGAAAAGAGATCAGCATCTGAGATGAATTAGAACCACGAGAGAGAAGGAGGCAGAGAGAGAGAGAGAGAGAGAGAGAGAGAGAGAGAGAGAGAGAGAGAGAGAGAGAGAGAGAGAGAGAGAGAGAGAGAGAGAGAGAGAGAGAGAGAGAGAGAGAGAGACAGAGATAACATAGGAGACACGACATCCAAGGCGCCAACGTGACCAAGGTGGGCACAAAGACGAGAGTCAAGAAGAGCATCGGCAAAGCGGACACGGCCACGAGAAAAAAACTCGCGGAGGTCTTGACCTCCCAAGGTGCCGACCATGTGAAGGGCACGGAGGAGAGCAAGAAGGCGAAACCGACCAAGGAACCGAAGGACAGCACTGCGCTCTGCATGCCTGGGATTTAAAGCTCAAATGCTCGTGCAATATCGTCTTGTTTCGCAGGTTCTCACGGAAGAGGAGGTGAAGAAACGTGATTTCGAGAAAGCCATGACCCAGTCCCTTAGCTGGCATGTCCTC